TGTACACACTTCATCTTGGTGTCGTTTGGATAGGGTTCCTCGTAATTCTTCACACTCCTCTCTAAAATGAGTAAACAATATTATATCTTTAGTTACTTGAATTACCTCCAACAAAAGTCTCTTAAACACACCCTTCTAAGTTTCCTAATGGAAAATCAAAGGCTTCTTTGGAGATCAATTACAAAATAGTCTTTAATTTGATAAACTGATTCACATACAGTACATATTTTAAGTTAGATTCTGGATCTTCCGATTTTGTTTCAAACTATACCCTTCAGTTTTTGATAGAGTGCACACCACAAAAGCGTGAAATATTTCTTAATAATCAACAACTAATAAGATTTAGTCATCAACTAACTAATTCACTGGGGCATGAACACAATGCCAGAAAAGGAATTTGTCTTTGTTTAAGCCTCACTGAATTATAACTAAGTCTTATCAGGGGCTAATTATTTAATACATGTAATTGTTTCACACTTATGTGGAGTGCACTCTATTGGGAAAATGAGGACAATCTSGGTATGAGAATGTTCTGGCAATGGAAATATTTATATTCAAGGAATGATTCAACAACATACCTCCATCTTTGGTCCAGTTTTTCTTGAACAAATTTCAATCTTTCTTGTTCCCGTTTTTCTTTCAAAAACTTTGCTCTTTCTCTCATTTTTGCTTGTCTTTCAATTGTAGTTTCTTCTTTAGCTTCCATTTCCTGAATGTACTGTTGTTCTTCGTTCATAAGCATTTCTCTTAGTCTGAAGGGAAAAGTATTTTGTAATAATTTAGCATTAATTTTCGTAAAATGATTTTTGTAGAGAATGTTTGGTAAAGCAAAACAATAACAACTGTAAACAATATAGCAGCTTGCATTGTTTGTTGTTTAATTGAGGTGAATAGCCAAAATGCCAAATGGCAACTGTAATCAGACTGCTAGGGCTGGTTGTATGTACTAAAGGTGAATAGAGTTATCCAGCAGATAAAATCTTCTGCAAAAAGAAAGTTGATAAATTTGTCCACCTTTAGAACAACTGGCCCTCGGAAGTTTTTATGTTTATGATAATTGCACTCATTGAGACATTATTAGCATTAACTTACTTTTCTCTTCTATCTTCTAACTTAAATGTTTCAGCCTGCATGAGTCTGTCAACCCTTCTGTGGATGATATTTCTTTGAATTCTTTTATCTGTAGCTTTTTCCCATTGTGACTGGAATAAGATGAAAAACATCTTCAGTGATTCAAAAACAGTTCTAGTAAATCATAAATTATATATAATTATTAACTGGAGTCAATATTTGTAATATTTCTTGTTTAATCTCAGTTAAGACAGTTAACGTTACAAGACATATATCTCACTCTGTTGTGCTTAGATGTATTTTGGTATTTAAAAAGTCAATAAAAATTAAATGTTTTCTGAATACACCTAAAATATTACATGTAAATTTATCCACAATATACTTGTTACTAAAAAAATTGTCAGTAACTAATTCATAGATTTAGTATTTGACCTGCATTATTAATTTCCAATTTCATAAACAAAATATTTTAAAAGCTAGGTAATGAACGCAGGTGGCAAGCATGCACACACTATAAGCTCAATATAAATTAAGTGACTTTAAAATCAGAATTGGAAATCTACTTGTATTATTAACTTGATGTCATATTTTGAAGTACAGAAAAATATAATACACATATCAACTAGTTAAAATGATTTAGGTTCGGTAAGTCTATTATTTGTGTACATGTAAACTAACTAAGCTTAAGTTGAGCTTCATGTAAAAATTTTCTGTTTATAATTTATCATTATTCTTGCTTACCTTAAGATCACACTGATTTTGATACTTCGTTTCAGCAATGGCTTGATCTCTAAGCTCATCCCTTCGTCTTCCTTCAAGGATAAGATACTCGACCGGACGTTTGTTGGTTGGTTTTGCTTTCTGTTGGAGTCAACCATGAATTTATCGATCAGCTGAACTATAGCCTTATAACATTTCGTTGTGGATCAAATTATTGACCCAGAAATACTTAAATCAACGATAAGGAACGTACAAAAAATGCATCTACATCTCTACATTTACTTAGAAATCATATACAAACGAAGAAATATGTGAATATAGCGAATAATAAGCAAATTTGTCTAGAATTGAGTAAGCAACATCGTGTCGAGATGAAAATGAGTCATTTTTCAATACTTACGATTGCTACTGAGTTTGGCGTTGGACCTGTGAATTCCCTACACCTTCGTGTATGTTGTACCATCATTTTGACGGCTTTTTAAGTGAAAGAAGTCGTTAAATTTTCCTTCTAAACACAGCAGTTTCGACAACTAATCTGTCTCCAAGATGGCTTGC